AAGATCCAGGGCCTCAAATCTATTACGGGGGGACACCTGGGGAAGCAGGGCAGGAAGGGGGGAGGGTTCCCCACGACGCCAAACTGGAACTCGCTTCCAACCCTTGTCGTCTTTTTGGTCCTCTACCTCTGCGCAACAGCTACAGGGCAGGGGGTGTCTCGGGCCATCCCCCTCTGTGTGAGGGGGCAGGGGGTCCTTCCCCTTTTGGGGGGTATCTCCCTGGAATCGCTCCAACTGGCACACCAGGGAGTTACTCCACCAATCTATCTCCCTTTCACATTCCCTGATGGTCCTCAGCGTCTCAACCTCCTCCTTAAGTTTTGCCACCAGGCTAAGCAGATCTTCTACCTGCTCACACCTCACACAGGTGGAATGCTGTCCTCCCTCCCCCGGCAGCAGCAGGCTCTGGCACCCCCTGCATCCAGAGACCTGAACAGCCACAGTTTGGGACGGGGTCTCTGTCTGAGTTGCTGTAGTCTTCTTACTGCAAGCTCTCTTTCTGGAGGCAACCATATTAGTCCGCAATCGGACACCAGCAACAGGGTCAGCAACACGACCTGCTTGCTCCTCCCTGCGCCTGGTGGGCAGGGACACGTAGCTCCCCTCTCAGAGGCTCTTTCAAGGCAAGCGGCAGGGGGGTGGTCACCGTCACCGTGGGAACGCCCCCCGCCACATCATCCGCTCTCTCGCAAGGGCTGCTGGGGTTTCGGGGATCGGGAGATGTCGGGAATCGCGATGCCTCTGCGCTATCTCCTCTGATTTTCCTAATCTCCGTTGACCCTCTCGGTCGCTGAAGCGTGCCGGCTGCGGCTCTAGCTAGGCTAGCTCCGATCAGCTGACTGAATGCTGTACGCATGCGGGGAAACTTTCTGGAAAATGATGTAATTCATACGCAGCCTCACGAATATATATGTATGTACATAATGAATATATATATGCTCAGTGATTATATAAGGACGGCTTGTGTAGCAATACGAAGATACACGCTAGGTGGAGCTATCCCTCGTGTCTCCCGGCGCCGCAATAAAGAATACCTGCTTGTCAACTTCGTTGGCGAGTTCCTGGAGTTTTCTCCGAATTTATTTGGCACCCCAGATGGGACCCACCCTGCTCGGCTGCCAGGACCCGCCTAGGACGGGGCTTCCTAGGGCCCTCGTGAATTTTTCCCAGAGGGACCCCTTGACTCATTCGGATTGCTGCGGGACCAGACAAGGACCATCTTCGTAAAAGGTATTCTTTTCTTTTATATAGTATGCATGATGCAGGGGGCATCTTACATAAAGACTAAATTGGGTTGGTAAGCGTACCCAAGGTTTGGAAGCCTTCCGTAAGTCGAGATAGGAAATCTTGTAGGTAAAGGCATATACCCGTTTGCTAGCGTCCGTTTGGTATACACCCACAAGAAGCAGGGGGCATCTTGTGGTTTGGGTCCTACAAGATGCAGGAGGTGTCTTGTAGAAATGGTTTTGGATCTTATTAATATTCGACTTATTTTGTGGTTTGTTACAGTGATGATTTTGGTCTTGTGATTTTGCTATTGGTGACAGGCTGTTATAACTGTTGGTATAAGGAAAGCAAGTGACTGGAAAACATAAGGTTAAGATACTTTTAACTTAACTTAGGTCTAAGATAGAGAACAATGTTTTTGTTGTAAGTCTGTGGTGTGATAAATTTAATAGTCTTACACAGGTAGACTCCACAACTCGTTAAGGTTGTAAAGTAGGTATGCTTTATTCAGCGCTGAGGCACATGGGGGATCACTCCTCCAAAGGCATGCGCACCTCAGAGTTGTTCTCCTTCATATTGATCCTCTAAACTATTACATATTCATGAGGTTACGCAACACGCCTATACATATTCATAACCTACCCCCGCTTCATATTATAATGAGGTAAAAGGTCCTTGGTGGTCATGGGCAAGGGTCTCAAGATGAAGTAAACGAGTCTTCCCTGAACTTTTCATCTCTAGTCGTTGCACATGTTCCCTGGTGATTTAGTCACTGTCCAAACCGCAAAGCTGATTTCAGCCGGTTTAGGGGGCCAGAGAACAGGAGTTACTGTTCCTTCCTCTTATCAATAGCCTTGGTCCTCCCACCCTGTTCCGACAAGCACGATAAGTGTTGAGCATGCATTTGTTGAGTAAGCACAAGTAAGCAGTAACATTGTTAAGCAAGCAGCTTAACCCTAACCCCCCTGTACATCAGTCAACCCTTCGCATCATTACTAACAAGAGTGAATTATTTCTTTCCATCCTTCTAATGAGTGACCATCCTTCTAATTACTCCTTGTCTGCCCTATCCTGTTATGAAGGTCCCACTGTTCTAAATCTTTGCCAGCTATCAGAAACTTGCAGATACGGTTGGTTTTAGCTAATTTGTGATTACTGGGGCATCCAACTGTGCCAAAGGTGAAAAGTGCACTCTGTGGAAGACTGCTTACTTCATCTTGAAGACCTCTGCCCACATGAGGAAGACTGCTTACTTCATCTTGAAGACCCCTGCCCACGACCATTGGAGGGCAGTGCGCAAGTGCCAAAAGGGAGGAGACTTATGATAATGAGTACCTAAACTAATTGTAATATCCCCGCCAAACTCTCGGGAACCTAATGAATATGCATGTTTGTGTGTAATAAATATCTGCTTGCTTAACCCCTCGGTGAGCAAGTTAGGAGGAGCAATCCCCCTTGCACCCGGCACTGTAATAAACATACCTGCTTTATAACTCTCTTTGAGTTGTAGAGTCTGATTTCGTGCTTCACTGTGTTATTAACTGTTGTTTGTTTGATTGAATTTTAGTCTCTGTCTGAAGTGAGTCTGTGGGATCCCTAGTTTGTGTGTGTGAATGCGAGACTGATAATGGAAAATCAGCAGAGTGGAGAGATCTTGAAAAAGAGTCCTTTAGGGTGCTTTTTGGCACATTGGAAAGAACTGGGAGGGTCTCCTGGAGGTTCAGTAAATAAGAAAACATTGGTGAAATATTGTAACCGATGGTGGCCTTTGTGTACTCTGGAGGATCAGGAAAAATGGCCTAAAAATGGAACTCTGAACTATAATACATTATTACAATTAATGTTGGATTTGAGGTCGCAAGGAAGACGGGTTGAAGTAATGTATGCAGATATGTTTTTCACTTTGCAAAACCACCCAGAATGGCGGAAAGAATGTGGAATTAATATAGCACCTTCGGATCCTTTAATTTTAGCTTTAGAAAAAGAAAGGAAGCAGACTGGGAATAGATGTTGTTCTGGTTGTGATACTGGGGAAATGTGTTTGAAACTTAGGAAAAGAACTGAGGATAACATGGTTGGGGACAGAATGGAGGATTATGTTTCTCCAAAGGTACCAGATAAGACATCACCTCTGATTCAGGAGGAATCCTCTGATTCAGATGAAGAGCAAAAACAAAGTGTAAAGAAAATTCCCTCCACTCCTGTTGCTGCCCATGTCCATAGTAAAACTAAGACTGTCGTGCAAGCCCCTCTTAGGGAAGCAATGGGGCTGGAGGGATGTACCAGGATAAAATTGAATTTCTCTTTAGGAGATTTGGATAATTGGAAGCAGATTGCAAAAAAGTATTGAAATGACCCTATCAGGGTAGCTAAGAAATTTAAGATGCAAGTAAAAAGTCAGGATCCTGATTGGAAGGAGTCATCGACAGAGTTTCTGGACAAGCTCAGAGAAACTATGCGAAAATGCACCAAAATGGATCCTTCCTCAGAGGAAGGTAAATTACAGCTTGCAAATTCCTTTGTGGGGTAGTCATTGGAGGATATCAGACGAAAGCTTCAAAAATTATCCATGACTGAAATAAGAGATATAGAAAAGTTGCTGGAAGTGGCTTGGAAAGTATACAGGAATAGAGAACAAGTAAAAGAAAGGAAATTAGGAAAGGTTTTGACAACAGCCACAGTCACAGCATTAGAGCAAGTGAATGAGGCTTATGGTGGAATGAGAAGTAGAGGTCTTGGCTGTGGAATGGTCATGAGAGGTAGAGGGGAAGGTTATATAAGGACTTCCCTTGTTCCAGATCAATGTGCAATCTGTAAAGGGTTTGGACACTGGAAACAGGAATGTCCACAAGGAAGACAACAAACTCAACTGACTACTGAACTAGAATTAGATTGACAAGGACCTGGGGAATCTACCCTAGCGGATCCACTGGTTAAAATTAAGCTAGGGACCACAGAAAAAGAAGTGGAATTTCTCATAGATAAATTAAAAGGAAAAGAGTCTGTAATGGTTGTGGGAGCTACTGGCCATCAGGAAAAAACATTCTTTCTAAAACCTTTAAAATATAAGATAGGAAAACAAATTGGGGTACATAAATTTCTATATATGCCAAATTCACCCAAATCATTATTAGGAAGATATTTATTAGAATATTTAGAGGCAACCATAACTTTCAAAGGAGGTAAAATGGAGCTAAAAGAGGATCAATTAATTGAAAATTTGAATGTGTCATTAATTCAACAGGAAATCAGTAAGTCCAATTCGCCTGAAGTACAGGAAATCCTCAATCAGGTATATCCAGGAGTTTGGGCATCTGAAATCCCAGGTAAGGTGAAGAATGCTTTGCTTATTAAAACTGAAATAAAAAGGGGGGCCTGCCCAGTCCAAATAAAACAGTACCCTTTAAGGATAGAAGATAGAAGGGGAATTAAAGAAATAATTGAAAGGTTTCTAAAATATGGTTTATTAGTGGAATGCGAATCAGAGTATAACACCCCCGTTTTACCAGTAAAGAAAGCAGATGGGAAAAGCTATAGGCTAGTTCAAGATATATGTGCAAAAAATAAAATAGTAGAGGACATCCACCCTGTAGTGGCTAATCCATATACTTTATTGACCAAACTAAAATTAAATCAGAAATGGTTTGCCATCCTGGATTTAAAGAACAATTTCTTTTGCTTACCACTGGCCAAAGAAAGCCAGAATTTATTTTCTTTCAAATGGGAAAATGCTGACATGGGAAGGAAAACCCAATTAACTTGGACAGTATTACCTCAAGGGTTTAAAAACAGTCCAATGATTTTTGGAAATCAGTTAGCACAGGAACTAGAGTCATGGAAGCCACCCACTTAGACGGGGACTCTGTGGATGACTTATTAATTGCTACAGAAACAAAGGAAGAAGGTGTCCAGTGGAATTATTAAATTTTCTGGGACTGAATGGTTATCGGGTATGCTAACAAAAGGATAATCCAAACCCGAGTTTCCTACATAGGATATGAAATAACAGGAAGACAGGGAGAACTTGGAAACACTAGAAAAGAAGCCATTTGTCAAAGTCCACGACTATCGACTGTCAAGGAGCTCTGGATGTTCCTGGGAAATTTAAAACTAGAGCTAATAAGAGCTCCAGCTCTGGGGCTTCCAGATGTGACTAAACCCTTTTGCCTATATTCCTATGAAAAACACGGAATAGCTTTGGGGGTCCTTGCACAGAAATTAGGACCCTATAAATGGGCAGTTGTGTATTTTTCACAACAGCTGGATGAAGTGAGCAAAGGATTCCTAAGAGCTGTGGCAGCAGTTGTCATGAGTATTGAAGAGGCTCACAAATTTACCTTGGGACAAAAGATTACTGGGCTAGTGTCCCATGTGGTGGCAGCAGTCCTCGAACAGAAAGGAGCCCACTGGTTATCTCCTTCACTTTTTCAAAATACCAGGCCACCCTTGTGGACCACGATGACATAGAAATTGTGGTCACTAATGTTGTGAATCCAGCATCCTTTTTGCAGGAAGAGTCAACAGAACCACTAACACACAGCTGCTTGGCCACCATAGAGGCTGTATAATCAAGCCGACTAGACTTGAAAGAAAAACCTCTGGAACATGCTGATTCTTGGTTTACTGATGGTAGTAGCTTCATGAAAAATGGTAAACGAAAGGCAGGATATGCCATTACCACCACTTCACAGGTAATAGAAGCTAAACCTTTACCTGCGAACACCTCTGCCCAAAAGGCAGAAATAATAGCATTAACGAGAGCCCTGGAATTGGCTAAAGATAAAAGGATAAATATTTGGACTGATTCTAAATATGTATTTGGTGTGGTATATGCACATAATGCCATCTGGAAAGAACTTTTGAACACACAAGGGAAACAGATTAAACATGCTACAGAAATTCTACAATTACTGAAAGCTGTTCAGCTACCTGAAGAAGTAGCTATTATGTACTGTAAAGGACATCAACAAGGTGACTCTGTTCAGGAAATTGGAAATAATTTGGTTGTTTTTGAAGCCAAAGAAGCAGCTGAACAATCTCAACTCATGTCCTTAATCCCTAACGGCAAACTAACAATTGAAAAATCTAAACCTAGGTATTCAAAAGAGGATAGAAAATTAATTGAAGATCTAAAAGGACAGGAAAATAAAGAGGATGGGGTTCAGATACCTAATGGGTAAATTGTAATCCCCTATGACCAACTCTGGAAGCTAGTTCAGGAGTAACATAATAAAACTCATTGGGGTAGAAACTCTTTGTATAAATACTTAAACAAACAAATTGTAGGAAGAAATCTATATACTATAGTTCAATTAGTGGCAAAACAATGTCAGTTATGTCTTAAGAATAATCCTAAAACTGAAAATAGAAATTATATTGGGACAATTGAGAGAGGAAGTTATCCGGGACAGCAGTGGCAATTAGATTTTTCTGAATTACCAAGAAAAGGGGGTTATTGATATTTGTTGGTGTTAATGGATACTTTTTCAGGCTGGTCAGAAGCATTCCCCTGTAGGATAAATAATGCAAGATAAGTGATTAAAACATTATTAAACGAGATAATACTTCATTTTGGGTACCAGAGGCAATTTCTTCTGACCAAGGCTCTCACTTTAGTGCAAAATAATTACTAGAAATTAGCAAAAAATTAGAAATTGATTGGCAACTACATGTTCCATACAGGCCTCAGGCCAGTGGGCAAGTAGAAAAGATGAACCCTCTGATTAAACAACAGATTAGTAAAATATGTCAGGAAAGGAATTTATATTGGTACGAGGCGTTACCACTGGCTCTATTAAGAATTCGAATTAAACCTCGGTCGATAGAAGAAGTCAGTCCATTTTAAATTTTATCTGGAAGACCATATCAGTCCCAGTTTAAAGAAGAAAGTCTTCAGGAAGTGGGGGAAGGCTATCTCCGACAGTTTCTGATCAATCTGGGAAAACAATTGGAGGAGATAAATAAGAGAATAGTAGGGACAAGAGCAAGAGGTTTGGATTATCTGATTCACCCTTTCAGATCTGGAGACTGCGTTTATGTTAAGAATTTTTCAGGAGATCCTCTACAGGAGAAGTGGAGCGGACCGTACCAGACATTACTGACCACCTTTACAGCAGTGAAGATAAAGGAACAACCTGCTTGGATACATGATTCAAGAATAAAGAAAGCACCAGAGCCAGAGAAGCCATAGCAGATCGTGTCTTCAGGACCCTTATGTATGAAATTGCATCGGTCATAATTTGGACTCATATGATAACTGGCGCACAAGCTTGGGACCAGAATTTACACCTGAAATTAGTGCAGAATGTTACTAAGGTTTAATCGTAGTGACTTGGGTGTGTGCACAGTTGCCTAAATCAGGAGAAAATCCAAACCTTCCATTAACTGCAGTTCCAATTCCTAACACTATCTTATGGACTACTTTGTGTGTGAACACTAGCAATTTACGTCCAAGGGAAAGTTTAAAATTTGGGATAGTTAATCCTAATCCAGGTAATAAATATTATACCTGTGCACAAAGATGTATTACACCAGGAACCAGGGTAGGAGATTATGTTTGTTTAAATGCCACAGATGTAGGTCACCATTCAAATTGCAATTGTACTGGTAATATAGGTGGTATTGTAGTTCAGTGGTGGCCCGTTCCTAAAGGGAAAGGGTGGTATTGGTTATATGGAGAAAATGCTTATAAGACTCTACCACCCAACTGGAAGGGGGCATGCACCTTAAGTGCTATAATACCCAATTTTACTATTATCAACAGGTATCCTTCCAGGGCCTGGATTATAAATTTTGCGGATTAAGCGATTGTTTAACCCTATTATTGAACGGCACACCGCATTTAAAAGTTTTGTAAGGGGGCTAATTTCATCTTTGGGAGTAAGTGAATTAGAGAAAGCAATTGTAAATATCTCAGCAACCATAGAGGAAATGGAAAGTAAAAACATTGATATAATCCAGGCAGAACAACAAGAGATAACTAGCCTATCTAAGGTGGTATTACAAAACCGAATGGCTCTAGACATGTTATTGGCATCACAAGAAGGGGTTTGTTCCATAATCAATGAAAGTTGTTGTTCCTATATAGACCAAAGTGGCAGAATTGAAACAGATCTGGAGGAAATTTGGAAACAAACTAAGATATTTCATGAAATGGCCATGGATGACACCTTCTGGGGTTTTGAAGAAATATGGAAAAAGTTAACTTCTTGGTTACCTAATCTCTCCTGGTTGAGGCAACTGGTTGCAGGAATATTGATGTTAATTGTTTTAATATTGATTACTTGTTGTATGATACAATGTTCCCTCTGGTGTTGTAAACAGTCTGATAAATTATGAAGATTGGAAGAGAAATGAAATCAAGCATCAAGTAGGAATGGGAAATTATTTCAAAAACACTTTAGATGGCAGTGGTAGTATATAAAGTGTTGCAAAAGAATTTGCAAAAGGACGGAAAAGGGGGGAATTTGAGACTAGGTGGAGCACAAAATTACAAAATGGAATATAGAAACCTTTAGAATCAGTTTTAAGTAATGTTAAGTTTGATGGCTTTGTAACAGTAGCAATGGAAAATTACTGAGGTGCATGATACACAGAAAAAAAAAAGTAGAGTACAGCTAGAGAACATACTGAGAATTCTTGTACAAGATAAATCATTATAGTTGACACAGTTTTAAGAAAAACAGTCTAGAAGAACAGGACACAGGGATAAGGAGTATCTGGGAATAGCAGGTGTCCAGGATGGGCTACAGTTAAAGTAACTGGTGAGTAGGAGGATAGGAGGATTATTATGTCTCTGGTGCTAACGAACCAGTTAACTGATATGAGCATCTACTGCGCATGCTTCAAAGGCTGCCAGACACACGTTAGGAGGAACTATCCCCCATGTCTCCCGGTGCCGCAGTAAAGAATACCTGCTTGTCAGCTTAAAAACTTTGTTGGCAAGTTTGTTCCTGGAGTTTTCTCTGAATCAGACCATTGGCTGACTGCCCAACACCCATCCAGATGCTCTGTCACCCCTCCTTCTCAACAGAATGGGGGAAAGAAAATAAGATGGAAAAGCTCATGGGTCAAGATAAAGACAGGAAGATCACTTACCAGTTACTGCCGTGGACAAACCAGACTCAACTTGGGAAAAATTAATTCAAATTTTTTGCCAATCAAAAATAGGATGGTGAGAAACAAAGGCAAGAGCTAAAACACCTTCCCTCCACACCCCCTTTTTTCACAGTCTCTGCTTCACTTAATTTCCAGTTCTGGCTCTTCTACCTCCACTGTGCCACCACATCCAGCAGCACAGGGGGGAAGAGAAATGGGGAGTTGCGGTCAGTTCATAACACTGTATGTCTGCTGCTCCATCCTCCTCACGCTTTTCCCCTGTCCCAGTGCAGGTCCATCCCATGGGCTGTAGTCTTTCAAGAAAATTTCCAGTGTGGGTCCTCTTCACAGGTCACAGTTCCTGTCAGGAGAGGCTGCTCCAGCATGGGATCTCCATGGGCTGCAGTTTCTTCAGAGAATATCCAAGTGCTCTGGTATAGGGTCCTCCATGGGCTGCAGTGTGGATATCTGCTTCAGCATGGTCCTCTCCATAGGATGCAGCTGTGAGAAATGGTCTCTAGATAAAAACTTGAGCTCAGGGTAGATACAACAGTGAAGCGGGTATTTATTACCATTTTTGCTAAACCAGATGTCCTAGCAAGTAGGCACACACAGCAAAATCAGAACTATGATTTATTTTTCCTACCCCCATCTGCAAGTTCCCTCCCTTGTTTCCCCATTGGTTGGGTACTCCAAGGTTTACAGCCTATCCGACACGCATAATCTACATGCTAACTGTCCCACCCCTGTTTACATCTCTCCTTATTCA